GATGGTCATTATGTGGCCTTTTCCCCCATTGCTAGGTTCCATTCTTCACAAGTGGCTGGTTTCTCCTTTGGGTCCAGCATCTCTGCTCTTCCCAGTGAAACTAGACTGATGCATGTGTGCAGGTTGGATGCAGGAAGGGAGGGTCAGATTTGCCCATACATAACCACTGTTTTATGGCTTTCACTCAGTCCTGAGGTGTTAATGCAGATCAAATGGGGAAGCACTCCAGACAGAGCCCTAGCAGCTACCGCACTGCCTAGCTCTCCCTTTGCAATCGTTAATTCTTATTGTAGGATCTAGAGGTAATTTCGTTTGCTCTCTTAATGCTTTGCAGGTCTCCCAGTGGCCCTTGCATATCCTTTCTCAAATTCCCATCTTGATCAATTGTTTGCAAATAATTAAGCTTTTAAAAGATAATGGCACAAGGCTAATGTACACAGCAACAGCAAGGTCTCCCTCACTGTCTGTTGGATGGTGGTCAAATTTACTTTGGTATCCCAAAGTGATTAAGTTGATTGGTGTATCAGGCCAGTGCAATAAGTCCTTCCTTCACAAGAACCCACTGATCTTTCCTCAACAGTGCCCTTGTCACTTAAATGCAGTAAAGGATAGGTACTCAGAGAAATGCCAAAAAGAAATGGAAGCCTTTAGTTGCAGTGGGTTTGGGATGAATTTACCCCTTTCTCCCTAAAATGGCACCTTTCAGGAATCCATGACCTCTTGCAGAATGGCTTCTGCCTTTGCCTATTGAGTGTTGTCATTCACCCTGTGGGCAAACACAGCAGGACTGTGAGTGATTTTATAGAAGGCTTGTCTGTTTGTTGTTTGTTGTTGTTTTGGTTAAGCCATTTTTCTACCTCTGCAAAGACATGACTCTTACTGTCCACAAGCAGCCTAGATAATCAAGAGTCATACAATTTGAGATATTTAAACTACTGGGGCTTATATTTAGAAGCCTATTTTTCTGTGAATTTTTGGCTGAGTAGGTATCAGCTACTTGGAGTCATAGTTTCCTTGTGGTTTTTGGCAATTATAGATCTTAAAAAATGAGTTGAGCGTTTGTGGAACACCAAGGCCGAGAACCAGGAAAAGAAAGAAAAAGATATGGTTCCTCTACCAAGGGAAGGAAGTTGCTGGTATCCCAGTGTGTACAAAGTCCTGGGTGCCATACCCCAGAATATTCAATTTAATTTCTGTCTGTCTGTCTGTCTGTCTATCTATATCTATCTATCTCTCTATCTATCTATCATCTGTCTACACACTCAACTTTAGTACACACACACATATAATGCCTACTGGTTGGCATACATATCTCTTATTAATAATGTCCAAGCTATTGTGACATTTAATTTTATCCAGGCTCATTCATATCTACATAAGAAATATATCCCAAAGAGCTGAAAATTGCTTAATGGAGACAGAGTGCTGGGCCTCTATAGCTTGGGGCTGCCTAGCAATTATGCTGCATGAAATTAGACACAGTTTGTTCCAATTACTTAAAATCAGATCACATGAAAAGTGACAGAGGAGGAGAAAAAAAACCTAGACCTTTCTCATTTTGTGATATTTAAATTGTGAAATCAGAAACTACACGATGTGGAGAAACAACTGGTGCTTGCTGTGGAATTTGGGGGCCTGCACTGCAGCTCTGTGGAGCTGTAATGATTCAGGTAATTTTAATGACCCAAGGAGAATTTTTCTGACACCATTTGCATAAATAAAATGTGAATTCCATTTGTCTTCTAAGTGTGTACGTAAAGCTTGCTCACAAACAAGCATGCAAAAATACTCTTGAAAAACACAGGACAGGGAAATTGCTGTGACAATTCTCAATTTTCAAAGTGGTTAAAGATGAATGGCACAAATACTAATTTTTCCATCTAGTTTGGGTCCTAGCATTAAGGCAGCCAACAAGACATGGCAAAAGATGCTGTAGCTCAGTTCTGCTGAACAGTGAGGATAGACATATTTATTAATTCTACTGAAAAATAATTGAAAAAAACTTTCCTAGAACCAGGAAAGCTGTAAGTAAATAGTATTATGGAAAATATTATAGACCAGAATGCCCATGTCTACGTGTTTATAACTTTTATGCAAATAGCATCAACAGCTAGGTATTAAAAAATGAGTATCTGGGGCTGATTAGATGGTAAAGGCTCCTGGTATCATGAGTTCAATGTCTGGATCCCACTTGGTACAAAAAGAGTACCAATTCTGCAAGTTGTCCTCTGACCTCTGCATATATATAGTGGCATGCATTTACACTCCCCACCCCCACACACAGGTGCATGAACACACAAAAATGAAGGCAAAACTTTTTTTAAAAAGAAAACTACACATTTCAGAATCTAGTTTGTAATTCTTATTGGACACTACTGTTTAGAGCTGCTAGTGAGAGAAGCCTTGAACTGCAATGGATTCTAGGACTCACATAGCAAAATTGAGGGTTATAAAAGTTGTTCGTGTTCAAAGTCTTATAATTAGTAAGTGCAGCATAATTTATATGCTCTAATAGAGTCATTTGTAGAATATACAATTTTTCAACTAGTATAGACACAGAACTAATATATATGTACATATATATGTATATATATATAAAATTCTAATTCAGTGTTCTGTTTGTAAGAAAAGAGATTCGTTTGATGAGAATTGTGTGGCATGCTATTATACAATAGGAATTAAGTTTTAAATGTAGGGTATTGGGTGATGTTTAGTTTTGTAGTGGTCCTGAGACCTGGTTTTATGTTGTGTGTGGCCCTAGCTCATTATGGCTTGAATACATGAGTCAGCCCCACTTTTAGGATTGAAGCAAAGAAAACATTGGTATGGGTGCCTACACTTTCTCTGGGCTATGAAAGACAATTTATTATCTGTTTGAGTGTTGAATCTGAATAGATAGTATCTGTGTAAGTTATACTTATTCTTTTTGTTCAAACTGTAGTTGCTAATTTCCCATTACATACTTATATGGACTTTAAGGATGATGAATAATAAAGCAATGCATTTCAAACTGGTAGTTGGGTTAGAAGACACCCCAACAAGGAAGCAGACTCAGAAAAAGGGCTTCAGAGAATGACACCTGCTTTCAAGAGTGAGGGGAAGGCTGATGTGAGATGAGTTGTGTATGCATGTGGTGTGGTGTAGTATGGGGTGTGTGTGTGCACGTGTGCGTGTGTGTGTGAGTGTGCATGCACATGTGTGTGCGTGTGTTTGTCTATGTGTGTGCATGTGTCTGTGTGTGCATGTCTGTGTGCATGCGCGTGTGTGCGTGCGTGCGTGCGTGCGTGTGTGTGTGTGTGTGTGTGTGTGTGTGTGTGTGTGTGTGTGTGTGTGTACCTGGCCTTGAACTGGACTCTGACATCGACATTGGGAAGTGTAGTGGGGAGAACCTTGGAAGAGTAGATATGAGAACAGTGTGGCTAAGAGGAAGCACCAGGTGAGATGTTAATCACTCTGAAGGGGTGGAGCTAATGGCTGGCTCTGTAGATTATGTAAGCAGTGTGGAGGGTTTTGGAGACTTAGATTCTGGGAGAGAAGAAGGAACTGTCACTATTGGCTGTCCTTTCCCTTGACTGACTTTCTCACCTGCAAAACAAGAGGATTCTGGTTCCATTCATGTTATTCAGAAGGATCTAATAGGGTTAATTACCATCCTGTCTGAAATATACCTGAAGCTCTTTAGAGAAAGGCACTATATTCCACAAAAGCAAAGCCTCATCCTAATTGTGTATTTATTGATTAAGTGGCAATCAAAGACAATGCTTATGGGAAAAATGACTATATCCCCACTCTCCACAAGCATACCCCATGTGTATAGATCTAGGACGTATTTAAAGTTACATGTAAAAGCACTGGTGTAGTCATTAACGATTTCTTAAATGTCTGACTAGACATTATTAATGAGATTAAAAGCTATGTTAATTGTCACCCAATAGACCAGAATTTAGTTTCCATGGTGCACATAGTTAAATTGAATATTGAGGGTACCTTCTCTCATTCATAATGGAAGTAAGAATAGAGGACTGACTGTCAGGGCAACTTAATCTGGGGAGAATTTATAGGAAAGCTGACTTTCACACTAGTCAGTGTCTCTGCAGGTGGAAACCACACCCCCAGATGCTCTCCTATACTTTAGAAATGTATGTTTCAGCTTAGATATGCTTGACAACTGAACAGAAAATGTTTCCACAAACGAATTTCAGTAGAATTCCCAATTCATTTCATTATTTAATTATGTAATTAATACTTTTTGTATTCTCTTCCTCATGGAGAACAGAGCTGGGTTTGTTCTTAGTATGTGACCTATGGCCTTTGACTTTTTGTTGGCCTTTACATGGGATCCTAGTATATGTTGACTTTCAGATGTGGAAGCAAACTGTACTAATTTCTTTTCTTACCACTATGAGCAAAATAATAATAATAAATAAAAGAAACAAAGGAACAACAACAATAACAAAGCATGGCAAAAACAACTCCTGGGGAAAGGATTTGTTTTGGCTCACACTTTGAGGGACTACAGTCCATCGTGGAGAGAAAGGTGCTAAAGGAAGCCACAGCCATGGGAGCCTGGGGCTGGGACTCCACACTCCCTCATATCTCCAGAGTATTGTATATATAATAATGTATGTACATACTATAATATATAGAGAGAGAGACAGAGACAGAGAGACACAGAGAGAGACACACAGAGACAACAATCTGATAAAACATAGTGAAGACCACACTAAACTTTCTAGCCTTGCAACAAATAAACTTGTTAAAGGATAAACTCAGTATCAAGGTTCTGCAAGTATCCTAAATAGACATTTATACACTTCACTAATCTTTGTAATTGGCTTGTCTTTTACTGCCATTAATTAGATGATGTAGTATTCCATTAATAAGAGTGACACACCTCAGCATTTTTACCTTTAATTATAGACTTCACTAGGCACTTAGGTTATTGACAAAATGGTATAAACATCACCTGCTGTACACACACCTTTTTTGATCTCTTTCAGCACCCTTACCCTTCTGAAGAACAGAAAAAGCAGTTGGCACAAGACACAGGCCTCACCATCCTTCAAGTGAACAATTGGTGAGTAATTTGGCTGGAGCTCACACACTGTCTGTTTCCCCCTCTGGCAACCTGTAGTTAATGTAGTGCATGAAGAAGCCACACCCAGTTGCTGCTGCTTTCCCTGGTGGCCTGCTGATCCCAAGGTGGAAACGAACTGGACTGATGTGGAGGAGTGCTTTCTAATGTGGAAAATCGAATGTGCTCCCTTCCACCTTCTTTATGAATCAATAGGTTTCACGCACAGGATGAGTGTGTTTGGTGGATACTCACCCTGGCTCTGAAATCTCGTCTCTTTCTTTGGCTTTTTCTCTTCAGGATAATTGATAGAGTTGGTACCATACTATTTTCTGTAAAAGAAGAAAAACTATCTACCATGGCTACACAGCTGTCTTAAATTCACTGAGAAACTAACTCAATTAGGTTTTGTTGGGGTTATCCATTCGAAGGGTACCTGGTGTTCTCTTCACACTCAAATATTGAGGAGGGGACAGTTGTTTTCTTCTCAGAAGGTCCCTACAGCCTGATGTAACTGAGGGCTGTGCAATGCTATTTCTAAGTAAAGTGTGCATTCCTAATCTGGCGTGAAGCTGAGGTTATGCACTGAGTACTGACCAATAATATTCTGACTAAATGTCCAGCAACGTAGCACCGAGGCTCTGAGAAAGGGTGATTTATTGCTCTTTGTGACTGTGCTAAGAGCCATGTTAAGATAATCAGTCAGACCTACTGTCATATTTGAAGGTTATTGAAATCCAATCTCCTCTAAAACTAATGATATCTAATTAATCGTCCTAATATTTTCAGATCAGTGTTAATAGTGAAGAAATCTTATCTTCTTTGAAGTAAAATCCAGAAAACCCTCAAAACCTGGTTGGAGAAAAGAGAAAACTGAGAATGACAGTTTGTAGGCATAAGAATTTTCTTCTGTTCAATAGGTGTCAGAGATTAATATTACAGAATCTCTGATTACATAGCCTAATCCATTTTGGTGAATAAATTTGTTCTTGATGTCCATTGTACTTACATTAACAGACCCTTCACTGTTAGAGAGCCTCGAGCCTTTGGGAGATATTTCAGATATATTAAACCCCATTACAGAAAATGTAATTTCTGTCAATATAATCCCATGTATTCTTCAACTCAGTGTTTTAGCGATAACAAGCTACTTATGCTCTATTTGCCTTTGGAGGATTAATTTACAAAGTGCACTATCTGCAAGACACAGACAGACTCACATGAGCTTTGCTTGTAAGGGTTATCAATTTCTATGACCTGACCACAGCCTTCAGAGATCAATTTTTTTGCAGCCCTCTTAGTGGATAGAGAACCCACAGAACTCATACTGTATCTAAATATGTTAAGTTCTGTTGCCTCAGAGGCTTTGCTGTTTGCCTATTTTTGTCTGCTGTTGTCTTGAAATCTTCAAGACTGTCAACTTGAAGTTGGTCTTTCAGAGGTTCCTAATAATTCCATAAGGGAAACAATGAGTTTTATGTGTGCACCCACAATCGTGCTTCGGGGCTTAACGTGATTGTGAAGCGGCCATAATGCCAGGGAAGGAAGCGGTTGAAATGGGGCATCTCCTTGGGAAAGCTCTTTGGTAGGTGTAAAGGAGTGGCAGGCTGAGTTCAAATTAAGAAGCACTAAAAAATCTGGCTGTCTGTCATACATGCCATCTCTCTTCATCCTCAATGTTGCTAGCAAGCTCCATTCATAAACATAGTTACTAGAATAAACCCAACACATTCTGCCGGGTAAAACCTGCCTGATGGGACATTTCCCCTGGACGCAGGGCCAAGGGGGCCTTCTGTGATTCCAGGCAGTGTATAGAAACCATCATTTCCCTATATTCTCCGCACAAGGTACACCAGGGAGCTGCAGGTCTTCATCAGCCAGTGACGGCAGTTTTGCGTCTTCTCTTTTGTAGTTAGAGGGAAGAGAAGGAAGACTAGGAATTAGAAAGCTATGAAACAGATTGAAAGTGTGTGCAGACTTAAGGCTGAAGCCCATCTTTGCAGCTGGGTAACCTCAACATCACGTTTTCATATGGGACAGGTGCGTGGCTCCCTCCTTTGGTCTTGTCCTCTCTGAGTGTGGAGATGGTTCTTCCTGCACCTCAGTTGTGTTTGTGTTGCACTTGTCCATTCCTCTGACCTCATTGATAACTCTCCTAGAGAGAATGTCTCTAAAGTAACCAAATATCCGAGATGGGTTGTTTTCTTGAAGTGTGGGGAGTAATGGCATTTACGTATTAATTGAAGTTTCAAAACATTTTCCAAACCTACTCTTTTTAATAAGCTGGGAATAGTGCAGTGCTCACTCCTTTAATCCCAGCTCTCAGGAGACAGAAGGCCGATCTTTGAGTTTAAGGCCAACCTGGCCTACACAGTGAGTTCCAGGACAGCCAGGGCTACACCAAGAAAGCTTGTCTCAAAAACCCAAACCAAACCAAGCCAAACAAAAAAAATCCAAAAACAAACATACAAAAATCTGAGAATAGATATATTTCTTTAGACTTTAGGTGGAAAATAGCATGCAAATAATGATGCCATCTTTTAAAAACTAAAGGTTTCATAGAATCATAAACCATGACCTATTTGAAGACCAAAAGGCAGAGAAAGTAGAATGTGTTTTCCTTTTACTTCACTGCAATAAAAACACATGAAAAATTTTGAGAGTCTGCAAATAAATACTTTCATTCCTTAGAACAGTAGTCCATGAGGTTAATTCCTTCTAGAAATCTTAATTCAAAACATGATCATTAATGTCTTAAGATCTCCTCTTCACTTCATTTGGTTACAACTTTAAAAAAATTCTGTCCTTCTTGGATTTCTTCAAACTTGTTAACACACATGTAAATTTTTGTATATGCCATGAGTCACTGCTGAAGATGTCTCATAAAATGCTGAAGGGCAGGTTGGGTGTAGATCAGTCATAATTATTGGCAGCAACATAGTGTATTGAAATGCACAATATGTTAAGTAAAAGCTATAAACTCGTGTCTAGGTGCTGGCTTGTCATCGGAACCTCGGTGGTGCAGCTTTAATGAGGCATCAGCTAGAAAATGCAACAGGAACTTTGGGGCACTGCTCCTTCACGACACCACTAGACCCATTTTGTGTCTTTTTGTTGACATAAAGGATATGCTACACGTTAGGTGACTGAGAATGAAGTAGATGGGGAAGTGGAGGAACCGCACTGCAAAACAGGAAGACAGACTTGATGAAGAGAAAACATACATAAAGATGTAATTGCAAATACTCCTTAACATGGCTGGCGTTAGAGCCCTGGGGATGGAATGGGATATTTATCACATGAGAGGTTGTAGACTAAGTCTATGCCAGCGTATTTTGTCCAGATCTGAGGCAGTTATTCAAATAGTTCAGAATGTCAAAATACTAAAAACATTTTAAATACATTGTTTGACTTAAGGAGATATAGCATGGCTTTTCCAAGTCAAAGATGCTATGACTAATTGCCTGCCCAGGTATCTCAATGCTGTTAGAAATTTAGATTCAAAGTGTGGTCAACTGTGAGATACAGCCTGCTCCATATGCTTGTGTCACTGTCCTCTTTGCTCCTTCATTATATAATCCCATGGAGAACTGGTAGAATTAGCGTTTGGGAACTTTCTGTCTCTGTTTTTTTCAGTGTTGTGTGAGAACAATGTCAGTGAGCTGAATCTTTATTTTTTCATTTGAGGTAGAAATATTTTAATTTTGGCAGTAGATGGCTCTTCAGGTCTTTACATATTTAAATATATAGGAAAGCTTTAAAATGCCATTTCAGAGTCAGGTGGTGGTGGTGGCACATCTTTAATCCCAGCACTTGGGAGGCAGAGGCAGGAGGATCTCTGTGAGTTCGTGGTCAGCCTGGTCTACCACAAGTTCCAGGACAACCAGGGCTGTTATATAGACACACAAAAAGTATAGTTTCATTATTCAAGTCTTTTATCAAATGTATTTTTACTTATTGTTTGAGAATTTCCTAAGTGTCCACCATTTGTTTTTACCTGACTCTCTACTCTCTAGTCAGATGTTTAAAGAAAACATACACAAACATAAGTGTAGGGGAGACCTGTGGTCAGTGCTGCAGGTACATGAGATCTCCCCTACACAAAAATATGTGCATATATGCAAACTCAAAGCCAATATTTCGTTCTTTTATCTTAGTAGATCAACTTCTATACATTGAATGTGTGAGTGGAAAGTGGTCAAATAAAACCTCATTTATATATTTTTAGTTCATGCTGCAGACCAGGGAATTCCCTGTGACAAGCGCTGATGTACAGTACTGGCTGGAAACCTCAGACACTTCCTGTCTCAGCAGCGTTTTAGCCCAAAGTGCATCGAGTAAATGATCTAGTTTCTTGACTTACTACTTTTCATGCACATACTCTCCTAGAAAGGCCTGGTGTTAAATGATTATCTCTTTGTGTTATATTTTGTGCAAAATATATAGCATATGTGAAATCTAGCCTGTGGACAGAGAGAAACCCCCTTGCTATCAATTGGGTATATAAAATTCTAGGCAGGACCCTGACATCTGATGAGATATCAGAACTAGTGTTCTCGATAGATTTTAGATTTGGAATTCATACTGGGTCTTCCCAGAGTCTTCATCTATTGCCCTTAAAACTGCCAAGTGACCAGGCATCACCTCCCATTTGTTACTAGGAGCAGCCGGGGGAGCTAGATTCTTCCGCTACAAGCAGGTAAAAATGGAACTTATTTTTAGAAAATCTGATCTTTACTATAATAGATTCAACAGTTAAAGGTCAAGTTTATTTCTGAATTACAGTAGTAATGTAGCAAATACTTTTATAAGTAATCAGAGATTCTATAAATATAGAGGCATGTTTAGATGTAAATGTTAAAACATTCACAAATTATCCTTCCAGCATCTGGGATCTAAAAATCAATAGGGGTCAGTGGGTCCCACAGAATTGTTCTGCTTTTCTTCTGATGTAATTTAATAATACATTTTACAGATGTTGTTTAAACATTAGGCACAGATTG